ATTTTCCAAGCCAGGGCTCACAGCTGTAAGCACACGAGAAGAAATAAAAATTCACCGAGGAGCAGCCAGCCATGGCTTATCGCGTGGGGGTGAAAATGGAAATCCTGACTTGTCTTCACCGCCTGGCCAGCCACAAGAAGCCAGCAAAGTTGACTTGCTGACGAAAGAGAGACTGCTGGAGCCTGTGGTGGCTTTCACACCAAAGATGCTCGGTTTGCAAAGATATTTAACTACAGTTACTTGCCAATAAACCACGAATGAATCATCGCACAAAGCCATTACACTAATAAAACAATACTGGACTGGAAGGCAATCTGCTGAGTTGGGTTCTTGTTTATTGGGAATATAAAAAAGGTTGTTACAGCCTTGTAACAGTTCCCAATTAATGGCTGACACAGGAACACAAGCACATATTTCAGGACAAATATATTGCATAAACCCGAATTATTAAGAGTTTGTTTAAGGTTCTAACCCATTTATAAATCAGGTGGTATTCAGCACACACACAATTACTGGGCGGGGGGGATGCTGGGACCCGTGGTGATGGATGACGGGCACTGGTGGAGGGATGGGCACTTGATCATTGTATAACTGAAACCCAAGCACAAAATTTGTAAGCCTATAACTGTACCTCATGGTGTTTCACTAATAAAAAAAGAAAAGAAAAAAAAAGAAAAATGAGTTTCTTATTTTTGTTTTCACTTTGACTTCTTTCATGCTTATGGACTCTATGCAAACTATGTATAGAGTTAAGACTCTGAAGAGCCAGTAGCCACTCTTTCTGAAACCTCCATAACCGCTGGAGAAGGGCAAGCTTCTGACGTCTAATGGAATGCAGGTCTGACACCACGTCACACCAGAACAGTTCCCAGAGATCCAAGAGCTGAGATGCCCACGGGGGACCAAATGTGGCAGCACAGGGATGGTGGATACGACCCTCGGGTGTCTGAGAATGCCTCATGACAGCTGGGGATGGACCCTCACATCACAGAGAAGCTTTTGGGGACCATTGCAGGCTCACTGATGGGGTGCACGTAAGAGTGGCCCGATTGGCCAGGAATATTGCCCCATCATTGGCAGCGTGTCTCATGAACTGGGAGAGAAGGAAGCTGGGACAGAGAAGGGATCACTAAGTCAATGATGACTGAAGGGATAGTTCGGGATGGGAGATGTGTGCTGAAAGTAGGTAAAGGACCAAACGTGATAGCCTCTCAGTATCTGTATTGCAAACCATGATGCCTCAAAGTAGAGAGAGAGTATGGTGGAAATTATCTGCCATGGAGGAAGGGGGAAATAGGGGGCGGATACTGGGGACATTGGTGGTGGAGATTGTGCACTGGTGGAGGGATGCGTGTTTTATCATTGTATGATTGAAACTCAAACATGAAAGCTTTGAAACTGAAACTCACGGTGATTCAATTAAAAGAAAAAAAAATAGTGGCCCTAGTTAGAACTGGGTTCATGGACTCGGACGCCTGTGAGGAAGACTGACTTCTCACTCTGTCTATCCATGACAGGAACATCACGGACTCTTGTAGGCACCACGCCTGAGCCTATGTCATGAGCAGGGGCCACACTTGGGGGATCTGGAATCTGAGGGACAGGGAACGAACGTCCTTGATTGTCTGGCAGTTGACTGATGCAGCCAGGGGCCATGTGAAGACCAACAATAGCATGACTTTCGTAAGTCCCTGGATTTCTAGGGAATGTTTTTGTCCTTCATTACCCCTTAGTGAGGGACAATAAGAACCCCCTAGAGTCCTTTATGCACTGGATGATCTGGACTTTTCCCATCCCCCGCTATGCCACATCCATCAGTGCTCGGGCAAGTGTTGGGGACTCAGGGGACTGAGGCTCAGGATGCTCAGGGGGTGGAAGGGTGGTGAAGGGGTGAAGGGCAGTGTAAGAACTGAACTCACACCTTCTACGTGCTAGGTAGAAGGTTCCAGTATCTGGAACCTTCTTCTCCTTCTTCTCCGTCCTTGGATCTTTCTGCCCAGTCCCTGTAATCTTTCATTTTTCAAAACTACTGTGCAAGGCCAGAGAGATTGCACATGCAGTCTGCCTGCTTTGAATCTCTGGCACCACATATGGTTCCTGGGTCTGGCCAGAGGTCACACCTGGGCACTGAGCTAGAAATAGCCCCTGAGCACCACTGGACATGACCCCAAAATCCAAAATATAAAACCCCACACTAGCTAAAGGATGTTTCATACCCTGTATGTTCTTAAAGGTAGAGAGAGGTTGTAAGGATGGGGGCCAGAGCAATAGTTGAGCAGGTAAGGCACTTGCCTTGCATGCAGCCAGCCTGGCTTTGATCCCCAGCACCCTGTATTGTTTCCCGAGTCCCACCAGAAGAGATCTCTGAGCACAGAGACAGGAGTATCCCAGAGCACAGAGCACTGCTGGATATGGCCCAAAAACAAAACCAAGGAGCAATAGCACAGTGGTAGGGTGTTTGCCATGCACGCAGCCAACATGGCCGACCTGAGTTCGATTCCTTCGCCCCTCTCGGAGAGCCCGGCAAGCTACCAAGAGTATCTCGCCCGCATGGCAGAGCCTGGCAAGCTACCCGTGATGTATTTGATATGCCAAACACAGTAACAACAAAGTCTCCAATGGAGACATTACTGGGCCTGCTCGAGCAAATCGATGAACAACGGGAGGACAGTGACAATGACAGTAAAGAAATGGTAAAAAAATATGCCTGCAGGGTAGCAAGTGTTAGAGAAGAGAAAACAGTTTGCATAGCAACATCACTTTCCTAATGCGCATTGCTCTCAGCCCTAGGGACGGATCCAGCCTCCAAGGCATGCAGTGGCATTAGGAACCAGCCTCCAAAGCCTTCAGTGGTGTCAGCTGCCCCAGGAGTCAAACCAGGTCTCAGACTGAAACAGCCACAGTGTCATGTGGGCCCACCCTGGAGAGAGTTCCAGCAGCCCCTCTAGGCGGCTCAGGTCCTTCAAAACTCATGTCTCATCTCATTGTTCAGGACTATGAGGTGGGCAGTTGCATCCCCATATCTCTGACATAAGACAACAGAGAAACAAGAGAAGGGCTCTCCCCAAAGGATACAGTGCAGTGCAGGGCACTGTTCTGGAAGGAGATCAGGCCTGCCGCTCTTGACCTCGGCCACACTGCAGGCAGTGAGGCGGGCGTGCGGCTGGTTCTGCAGCTACTGGCTCCATGATGGACGCGGCCTAGTCCTTCCGTCCAGCACTTGGCAAGAGTGATTTCGTACTGAGCTCGGCAGACTCCTCCCAGCAGCACCGATATTATAACCCACGCTTCAGAGAGACACCCACACTGCAGGATGGTTCAGTGGCTGGCAGAGAGCAAAGCTCCCCCTTCTAGATATTAATTGAGAAACAAAAAGTGCAGGCACAGCTTTGACTGAGGGAAGAAAGCGGGAGCCTGGAGTTAGTCAGGGTCAGCTCACTGGGACAGGGTCTCTGGGGTGTATGTCTAACTCTGCCTACTTCTGTAAACAATATTTTAAAATTCAGCAGTAATTTTTTCAGATACTTGAGATGAAAATCTAGGGGCTGGAGCGATAGCACAGCGGGTAGGGCGTTCGCCTTACAAGCGGCCAACATGGCCAACCCGAGTTCGATTCCTCCGCCCCTCTCGGAGAGCCCGGCAAGCTACCGAGAGTATTCGATATGCCAGACACAGTAACAACAAAGTCTCCAATGGAGACGTTACTGGGCCCGCTCGAGCAAATCGACGATCAACGGGAGGGCCTTTACCTTTTTACCTTTACAGAAGAGCTAAACCATAGAGCCTTTCATCTAGGCAGTAGGACCACCCTTGGATGGCCCTTCTCCCTGGGGTATCTGTCTCTTACCAGATCTCTGCATCCTGTGCTTTTTGTCAGAGGATGACTACACATTATAAAATGCAGGGTCTAAGACCCCAGATTGAGAACAACACCCAGTGCAGAGTTCACTGGGTTAGGGAAAAATAAAACACAATGAACTCAGTTGACAGCATTCTCTGGGTGTGGGAACTTCTTTCTATCCCCTCTAAAAATTGTGGGATGGAGTGAGAAGCTCAACGACTAAAATACCTCCTTCCCCCACTTGACTGAGAGGTGAGCACTGCGGTCTGAGTACTTAAGCCCCAAGCTGCAAACACCCTCAGAACATCCATTTTCACTTAACTCCACACTTATCTCTAATTCACTGTTTCAGTTTTAATGTTTTCAGAGTTTAAAAACAAGTTTTCAAGTCTAGATATTTATTTCAGAGAACTCTCTTCCTTAGATTACGGTAATAAAAAGAATTCAGACAAAAAGTTGTGACTCATATTTGCTTCACACTTGTTTTGATTTTTCTCTTTTTTTGGGGGGGGGGCTTACTTTTCTTGCATAACGTCTCTTCTTTTTTTAATTTTAAACATTTTGGAAGTAGAATAGTTTTATTTAGAAAAACAAAGTGGGGGGGAGAATGCAAGAAGAGAGAGCGAGAAATCACATGTCCTAGGCTGTGATGGGGCAGAGATCATGCACCGTGTGTGTCTGTGAACACACTTCTGCAGGATCTTCTGCATCCTACAAAATGTGTTGCATGGTACTTATTTTCCTGGACTCTCAGAAGCAGCCTGAGGGGTTTATCCAGCTTCATTCCCGTGGCACATTTCACACCTGAAAACTGAGACTCCAAATCAGGAAGCAGCAGAGACACTGCATTTGTCCCCGCAGTTCTATTCCACCTGCCAGAGAGCAGAGCAGGGCCTCGGGGCCTCACTATTGACCGGTCCCCAGGGTGTCAGCGCAGGCTTTGTCTCACTGGCCCTTGCCTGAGCTTCCCTGTTCCATTCACTCATCTATAAAAATAATAAAAATAACGCTCATGCAAGCTCGAGCCCAATTTAGGGTCTACTCTGCCAACCCGTGCCTTGTGCAGTGAACAACGCGCATGCCCGTACACACAGGGCCCGCCCTCTCTACACAGCACATCCACGGCACGGCGGCTCGGCAGGCGGAGGGAGTCACCTACCTCGTGGTACTTTCTCACTGTCTTCCCCGAGTTGCAGGTGCAGGACCTCCAATTGACCGTGCCGCAGCCACAATTGCCGCCACAGCGCTGCACCAGGAGGCAGCGCGGGAAGAAGACAGCGTTGCTCAGCCGCAGCTCCTCGCGCAGGTTGACCGAGAAGTTCCTTGGGGTGCAACTGTAACGCTTGACGTCTTCATTGAGCCTGTCCAGGTCAACTGCAAGAGACGCACGCGCGGGTGAGCACAGGCCTGCAAAGCTGTGGATGGGCCTCCCAGACACCCAGGGGCAAGTCGGTCTCTGGGATCTTAAATGATCTCCCCAACATCACGGTGCAAAATCTCATTGCTCTTCCAATTTCCCTTATCCTACCTGCACTTCAGAAACAAGCCAGTTAAAAAAATAAATAAATGAATGAAAAATTAAAAATAGCCCCTGTGCTCCAGGCCTCTAACACACAGCTGTCCACATCTGGGATCAAATTTCCTTGTACCTTTTTATCAATGCTCCCCGCTTCCCACTCCACCAACAAATAAATATTCTGAGGAAAGAAAATGAAACATTCAGCAATTTAAAATAATTGCCTTTATCTTAACACACACACACACACACACACACACACACACACAAAATAAATTGCTTCTTGATTCTAAATAAACCCTGACTCGAAGCTATTACCTAAATATAATTTGAATTCTATTGGGTAAACATTAGGGACGATCACTGGAACACATTCACTTGGCAGTGAAATTTGAAAAGTAGACTGGAGGAAGGAGAAGGCTTTATTTTTCTGAGGTCATCCACAATATCAAAGGAGCTGGCATCTGGGGGCGCTGTGGAGTCCCTAGTTCTAGGGGCTGCTGGCCCCTCTCCACCAACCCTCCTTACAGGGGCATTTTCTGCTCTAGCTCCGGTTCCTTTGTCTGTGAGTAGCACAGAACTAAATTGTCACCTAACTTCCAGCAGAATTCCAAGGACTCCACTCAGTGTACCTGGCCCTCAATTAAAATATTCATCCTTATTTGGGGGAGGGTCACTTGTAACAGGGCTCAGGAGTCACTCCCAGAGGTGTTCAGAGGACCCTGCTGGTCTGGGATCAAAGCACTCACTCCAGCCCTTCATGCCACCTTCCTGCCCCCTTCATCACGATTCTGATAGGTTTTTTCCTCCTTTTATCTTCTTCAAGTCAAACGGTTATGGGGCTGGGAAAACAGCTCAAAGGGTTACAGCAAGGGCCTGCCCGCAGAAGGCCCAGCCTCCAACTGAGCATCTGCTTGGCTCTGGCCATCTCTCCATGCTCAGGCAAAAAAGTCAAATGGTCCAATTCCTGAATCCCCAAGTGATGCTGTTTCCTCAGCCATTCCTCTCTTAAATCAGTACATACAGTTCCTGGGACTTGTATGAATTAAGAGCATAACCCCCACATTGTTCTTACACTTAAGCCCTAAGTATTTATGTGAATTGGGTCATGTTATATAAATGACACTTAAATAGATTTTAATTCAAAATCCATGTAATTGTCCATCCACATGGCCTCGAGTCCAAGCTCCGTGTCTGGTGAGAACATGGCAGACTCTTCCCCAGGGAAGCAGCGAGAAGCAAGTCCTCTGGCCACCAGGACACAGCCCACAGCCCAGGGCTGATCCCATCACTGGCCAAGCCCTGCCAGAGCAGTCACATGGTAGGCAGCCCTGGACTCTGAGCTCTAGGACTGTTTCAGAGCAAAACGGGGTGAGAAGCACTGCATTAAAGGAACTCTTGCAGCACTGACCACACATACTGCTAGGAGGAGGAATGGAAAGTCTTCATTCTCTATGGCCACACACACTGCTAGAATCCTTCCGTGGAGGGCACCGGGAGGAAAGGAAGGTTCATTATATACAGAAGGTAGGGAGAGGCCCTGAATCTCAGAAAGTCTGCCCAGAGACTGGCCTTCTGGCCAGAGGACTCTTTTATTGTTTTTGTTTTTGCTTTTTGGGTCACACCCGGCAATGCACAGGGATTACTCTATTTCTGCACTCAGGAACTACTCCAAGTGGTGCTCGGGGGACCATATGGGATGCTGGGAATTGAACCCAGGTCGGTTGCATGCAAGGCAAACCCTTACCCTCTGTGCTATCCAGCCCCCAGAGGACTCTTGAATAAGGAATTAAATGAGGTGAAATTGATGTCCTGCTGGGGTGTTATTTCCGGTGTGTGACCAGCCCCTGAGTGTGAAGGGCAGGGACACTTCACTGCCATGTGCTGAGCTCAGGAAGCTGCTGGGGTTGGCGAGGGCCTTAAAAATGCTAACTAATGACTCTGCATAATTTATGGCTGTTTTTTTCTTCCTTTGTAAAGGCATGTCATAAGTTTAGCTATAATCAATCCGGATTTAAATTGAATGAACTCTGTCTGGGGAAAGGAACCATTTTATTGCTGCTAAAGCCCTGAAAATAACTGCAAGCCAAGCAGCAAGGATTACATAAATGGATTAAGAAGTGCAGCCCTCATCTATTATAAGTGTCACCTTGAGATAAATACTGATGCTGGCCTGTGCGGTGCCGGGCCTATGGACAGCGCGAGGCCGCGAACCAGGTCGGTGGCCTGCGCTAATGGGGCTCTATTTTGTCTAATGGGGAGGAGTAAAACAGAACCATTCACAGAACGGAAGACAGACCTTTGCAGGCGGCTCACACTTCCTGTCCCCACCCTTTCCAAGCTGGGCTTTCTTAGCCAAAGTGACGTGGAAGTGAGAAAACCAGAATAATGCCCTTTCCGACCTTCCCCTTTGGAGCCTGAGCCCTTGGTGTCAGGCAGAGCAGGAACTGCGATGGGTAACGCAACTGCGAAGGCCGAAGGCTGAGTCCACACACAAACACACACATACACACACTCTCACTCTCTCTCACACTCTTTCTCACATATTCTCATACACACTCTCACACATACACTCACACGCACACACATACTCTCACACACATTCTCAACACACACTGTCTCACACACTCTCATAAATTCTCACAGACACTCTAAAAAACACTGCACTGTAGTACTGTCCTCCTGTTCTTCACCGATTTGCTCGAGTGGGCACCAGTAATGTCTCAGAACAAATTGTGAGACTTGTTGTTACTGTTTTTGGCATATCTAATACATCATGGGGAGCTTGCCAGGCTTTGCCATGTGGGCGGGACACTCTCGGTAGCTTGCCGGGCTCTCCGAGAGGGGCGGAGGAATCGAACCTGGGTCGGTTAGGTGCAAGGCAAACGCCCTACCCACTGTGCTATCGCTCCAGTCCCTTATAAACACACTCATACATTATCACAATACACACACACATACTCTCACACATTCTCATACACACATTCTCATACACACATTCTCTCACACGTTCACACACTAATTCTCACACACACTCACAAATACACTCACACACATTCTCCCATACTCTTATACACATTCTCACACATACACACATGCACACACATACTCTCACTCTCACATACACTGCCTCAACATACACTGCCTCACACTCTCACAAACAAATTCGCACATTCTCACACACTTACAAACACACTCATACACATTATCACAGTAGACACACATATTCTCATGCATACTCTCACACCTTTTACACACATTCTCATACATAAACTATCTCACACACACCGATACATTCTCATACACATACATTCTCTCACACATTCAGCACACTCATTCTCACACAGTCACATTCTCACACACTTTCATACACATTCTCACACATAAACGGTCTCACTCTTTTACACATTTCATACATACACATTTTCTCACACATACACTCACACACATTCTCATACACAGACATTCTCTTACACATACACATTCTCACATACTCACACATATACCCACACTCTCACACCCACACATGCCACATCACATGATCCTATAGGGGGCTATACTAGGATAGGGTAGCCAATGACCACTCTTAGGCCCAGAATATCTCTGGGACAGATGACAGGACGTCTCATGCTTCTTCCAGCAGGAACAAGCTAAACCTCCAAGTGCCCCCAAGACACACTTTCATGGACTGGCCTGGGGACCTTGTTTCCTGCTCCTGGGAGGACAGGTTTACAGACAAGTGAGGGTTGTGAAACCATCCTGACACTCACTTCAAACCAGTGCCACAGAGCCACGTGAAGAGAGTCTGCAGGGGACACTGAGTTTCCAGTTTGCAGGGACTGATTAGGTTGCACCGTGAGCAGGAAGCCAGGCAGGAGGCTCTGAGGCACTCAGTATTGGGGGACAAATTGGGGGGTCTGGGGTTACCATGGGTGGAGGCCAGCCAGGACCTGTGAAGCCAGGAATAGAGACTGTCCTGCCTGCTCCAGCTCCGGGCTCTAGAGCTGCACATTCTAAACCAGCAAGAATATTCCAGATTTAGTTCAAAGGCCCATTAATCTAAACTACTCTCCGTTTCTTCACTTAGGGTCATAGGTTGTCCTAACCACTCTCTGCTGTCCTCTTCCACTTGAGCCTGACCCTTTCTGGCACTTTTTGCAGTTCTTTTTTGGGGGTGTATGTTTGGGGAATGTTCATCCATATCGCAAATCCATACCAGGGAACTGGTTCAGGGGCACAGGCTCCTGGGTCTGCAGGAAAGGCCCATGGACTCCCTCTGGACACATTCCTTTAAAATGGAGGTGAGGCACCAGGCCACATTCAGGGCACCCCAGACAGGGCAAGGGAGACTCCTCCCTGCCCCAAGGGACCCGGCCCTGGCAGCCAAAAATCTCCAGAACTCAACCTCTGCCATGTTCAAGGCTGCTCTCCACATGCTTGGGCTGAGCGTCACCCAGAAGTGAACATATTCCTGGACCACGTGGCTGCATTGGTGACCATGTGACATTTCATACCTCACATAGCCCATACTCCAAGAGTGTCGCATTGCATTTGATTGGGTTTAAAGGAGGAGGCAGCCAATCTTAGAGAAAGAAACTATATATATACATATATATATATATTTTTTTTACAGAATCACTGTATCACTGTCATCCCATTGTTCATTGATTTCCTCGAGCAGGCACCAGTAACGTCTCCATTTGTCCTGGCCCTGAGATTTTAGCAAGTGACACATTGGAGGCTCTTTTAGGGTCAGGGGAATGAGACCCATCATTGTTACTGGGTTTTGGCATATCGAATACGCCACGGGAGCTTGCCAGACTCTGCTGTACAGGCAGGATACTCTTAGAAGCCTGAT